AAATATATGTTTATCAAATAAAGTTTAATGTTACAACTAATCGGGGATCCCTTCAAAAATAGACATGATTTTCTTAGATGTACATTGCATTTCCTCCAGTTCCTCTTAAAATCCTCTCCATCTTACTGTATTCTCAGTAACCATGACAACCGGCTTTGTCTCACTCACGAGCCGTCTCCCCGGCTTCCTGTGAGGTTTAATCGATTTTTTTTCCAGAGACTGGAGAGTTGCCGACCCAGCAGTTGTCTTTCTTTGTGAGAACATCAGCACATTCAGTCTGCCATTCCCAATGAACGTTTCCTCCTTCCGTCGGTGGGCTGACGACGCAGTGACATCAGCGCCAAGAGGATTTTTTGACAGCTGTCGCTTCAAATACGGAAAGAAAAGCTCAAGTCTTGGTGCATCAGCGTGACACCGTGTGCTGGGCCTCACACAGTCTGGTACGCTGCCCTCCACAGAGGGACACTGTGGGGTTCGGATGAAGTCAGGAACGCTGATGCAGTCCTGCACGACCTCGTCAAGTCGACTCAGGGACGAGCGTGACGTGTTTTAGAAACACCAGCCAGTTCGTTTTTCTGTGTACCTCCGACTCTATTAGTGCAAACCGCTGTTCACAATGACGCGAGGTTAAATTTAACAACCTGGAATTCATAAAACAGGATATTCAGAGGAAGAATTTAGTTTCTGTGTATTTTAGGTTTTGTTTCTCTTAAAAGGAAGGACTGACATTAAAAATACAGCTTCTCAGTTTCTTGCTGGCGTGCAAAGGTTTGGGTCAAAGTGTTTCTCTGTAAATAGCTCAGTGGGTGTGCAAAACAAGCATCAAACTGTATTATTTCCATCCCAGATACAAAAGGCACTCCAACAGTTATCAAACCTTTTATTTTAGTTCTAAAGGTTACAGAGGGGCTGCAGTAATTTGTTTACACATGGTAGTAAAATTGCACTGATTAGAATAGGTATTTGAATTCATTTCAATTTTTTTCTTTTGTTTTGATCTTGAGAATTTTAAAAACAAATGATTTGCTCCTCGAGACTGAAAAGTGGTCATAAGTTCATAAATTTAGTTGAAAAAATCTGCAGCATCTTAAAACTTTTTTTTTGTTGTTGTTGTTGTTGAAGTGCATGTGGTGGAAGATCCCTGTTAAGACTTGATTAGCATTTTGGTGGGAACAAAAAGCAAAAATACCCCAAAGAAGAACTGAAAACATACAGTATACTTGGCCAATAAGAGGGAATAWTATCTGTAAAGAAGAAAGTGCAACTAAAAATGAAGCTTGCAGGTTGTGTAAATTTGTGCTTTATTTATTTATTTATTTATTTATTTATTTATTTATTTATTTATTTATTTATTTATTTATTTATTTATTTATTTATTTATTTATTTATTTATTGTTTTTGATTTGGAATCTCAGAAAAGGAATCTTGGCTGAATAGGCTGTCTTTAGATTAAAACTTTAAAACGCCAGGTCATTTTTCACTCACTTTACAGTTCAGTTACAGATAGTTTGAGCATGCCAAAGTAATATTAAAGTTGCTTGAGTCGTTCGTATTTTTGGGGGGAGGGGGACGGCACTGCAAACTCAGCAGGTTTTAAACTTTAATGACAGCCTCTCCCGGCGGCGACGATATGCTCCAATGCAGCACAGCTCCTGCCAGCTGCTGCTTTTATGGGCCTATAAATATTACTGCTGAGTAAAAGTTCAAAAAAGGAGAATTTTTTATTTCTCTCCATAAGTTCTGCAGTTTAACTGATAACCAGAATGTTTCTGAAACCAGACATTTCAGCGATTACAAACTGCATCCTGTCACAAATTGGGACATTTGTGTCAAAATGACATCAGGACTTTCTGTCATGTCCTCAGTTCCTCTTCAGGTTGTTCTCACACACTGCTTAAATGAAGGCTTCATAAAATAAAGCTATTAACACAAAACCAATTATACACTGCCCCTGGTCTTATAAACATATAATAATTCTCATGTCTCTTGTCTGATTTCATGTTTTGTGTCTTTTAATTACTCTTGCAGAGTGGCCTGAGTTTGTTAAGAACTACGCTCCGTGGTGGGCCTCACACACTTTAGACTGGTTGACTTACGGGAGGAGCGTCCACGTGGTCCACTTCGAGGACTTGAAGAGGGACCTGTTTTCATTGCTCAAAGGGATGGTCCAGTTTCTGGGTTTGAAGGTTTCTGAAGACCGCCTGCTCTGCGTCGAGGGCCAGAAGGACGGAAACTTCAAGCGGTCGGGACTACGGAAGCTGGAGTACGATCCCTACACTCCTGAAATGAGAGCCAACATCGACGAGCTGATCAGAACAGTAGATGCTGCTTTGAGGAAACGCAATATGTCTGGAGTTCCTGCAGAATATATGCCAAGATGATAAATGTGATCTTTTATTTCTTACCCTCTTCTGCTTTTGATTGGTTGGTTTTTAACAGGCTGTATCACAAATCACAACCTTTTTTATGTTTTTCCCTCACTTAGAAAGGTTTCACTCCACCCTTTTTTTATTTTCCAGCCAGAGTTCCGCAGAACGATGCATTCACACTTACAGTTTCGAATAGATTTCTTTTTTATGAATGAAAAGCATTTCTTACCCTGCTCTATGCACATGCCTTACACCAAGACGGTACAACAGCTGTGACCACAGAGAGGCTCTTCTGCCTGCACTGAACGATTTGACAAAACATTTTAACACAAATGATATAAAAACTACAGAAAAGGCTTCTATTTTTTGGCTGCTATCAAAGTTACAAAGACGTTTTATATATGAAGTTCTCTGAAACCTAATCTGTTCATCAAAGGGGGAAAATGCAATATGTAGAGTCTGACTACCTGATAAWGATGAATCTATGTGTTTCCAACTCTTTATGTTCTTCACCTTTTTCGTGTTTTTTTTATTTTATTTTTTATTTTTGTTAGTCGAGCTAAAGAACTCATTCTTTTAGTTAGATGAATAAATCTTTTTAAAGGCCCTGACTCGTAAAGAGAAAAAGGGTTTATGTCTTTGGTGTTATTTATCTCTGGTGTGCACTGCACAGACTGAAACTTGATTATTATTAAAATGTTTTCCTAGCACTGGACTTTGATGCAAAAAAAAAAAAAATCCAAAAAGCACTACACTGTGCATCACCTTCCCCAAAGATCACTGAAGGTATTAGTCATGTTAAAGGCTTGAAAGCTACTTTTTATTGTGTTCTTGTAGYTTTTATTTTTCACGATCAATATATTGATTATCTTTCAGTTTTGAAGAAAGCTTTAAAGCTGACTAAAAGAGATTTTATTATGTTTTTATACCTGTTTAAAACAAATGAACAAAAAAAAAAAACTCCAGGTAAAACATTTCTAAGCTGTACATCTCTCACAGCACCTTAGGTGCTTCGCCATAAGTTTGAAATTCACAAAAATAAACAAATACATTTTATAAATATAGGAACAAACTATGAATTAAACACTGTCGACTGACTTGAGGGCCGGTCGACGACTTCCATTTTCAGTAGAAAAAGTCTATTTTTGTATGACATGTNAAAAAAAAAAAACTCCAGGTAAAACATTTCTAAGCTGTACATCTCTCACAGCACCTTAGGTGCTTCGCCATAAGTTTGAAATTCACAAAAATAAATAAATACATTTTATAAATAAAGGAACAAACTATGAATTAAACACTGTCGACTGACTTGAGGGCCGGTCGACGACTTCCATTTTCAGTAGAAAAAGTCTATTTTTGTATGACATGTCACACAAACATTTCTAACACAGAAACGTTTGTAGTTTAATGAGCAAATTGGAAGAAGTTTCTATTTTTACCAAATGCTTTAAAGATTTACTGGCTTCTGCTTTCACTGACAAGCTGGCACTTACTGAACAAGTGTTACTTCTGAATGTATTTTCTACAAACTGAATGTAAAGTAGTAACCCTGAATAAATGAGCAAATAAAGAAAGTACTATGTTCAGTTTTTTATTTTAAGTTTTTGCTTATTTTTGGAACTGTGCATWTAGTTTATTGAATAGAACAAGTAATGTCTGTGGCTCAGAGCTGTTGCCTCTCAGAAAGAAAGTTGCTGGGTAGAATTTGCACGTTCTCTTTAGTTTTTTTCCCCTAAAAACAGAAATGTTAGGCTAATTGGTGTGAGTGACAGGGTGTATGTTTATTGGTGGCCTTGAGATGGAATTATGACATGTTATGTGCCCTGCCCCTCACACTGCCCTGCCTGCTGGATATGAGCACCAGTGACCCTAAAAAGAAGCAGCCAAAAATAACGGATGCATGATTAAAGTCTGAAGAAACAAAACTTACTGGAAACTTATCCATTTCGAACTCAGGGCCTGTGTATCATGTGGAAGAACCATACGCAGCCACAACCTGGCACCTCCTTGTGGTGCTCAGCAGCTTCATCACACACTGCTGTGGGATAACATCATATTCTTCAACCAGCATCTGTCACAAGTCAGTCAGTGGTTGTGTTGGTCACTCTGAAATAAAACAACATGCCCAAATTCTGGAGGAAGTCTCTGACAAACCTCGCTCTGTGAGGACCAGCATTGACATCTCAGAGAGTTTGATCTCTAACCGTGATGATGGGATTGATACTGCTGCTGACATCACCTTATCTGCTTCTCAACACACAAATGCATTTTTCCAACATGTGGCACCATTTAAAGGAAGAAATAAACGGCCTTTCTAATGATAAAACATTTATTACCAAGAGGCATTGTTACAACAATTAAATAATCAACCAAACACAAATTTCCTTTCTTTTTMTACTATTGAAAACCTACTAAATAAGACACGTATTTTATACATTGTAGTGACCAGTCAATTTTAGTGGATCAGAAAGACTATAAAAGTAGTTTTCTTTCATGATTCTGGAGCTTTATATGGTCCAGCATGCCAAACCAGGCTTTAAAAAAAAAACCAAAATGAAGATGAAACAAGAAACAAGCGGCTGAGAGCACTAATGAATTTTATTTCCCTTTTTTTTCAAACTCTGTTTCCTTGATGTGAGCCAGTTCAAGAAAAATAAATGTTTTAAGAAGATACAGCAGCAGCAAAAAAAAAAGAAGAGTCTGGTTAGATTTACTGTGTTATTGGAACAAGCTGGTAAAAAAGTCTCATTAATCAGGATTATTATTTAAAACAATAAAAACAAAAAATACAAAAATGCTGATCTCACTCATTCTCCTGTATTGACAGTATTCTCAGTATTTGTGAACATAAATGACAAATCATGTTACAAGCTTTGCTTTGTGTTTTGCAGTGATGGGAAATGTGGCATTATTTTCCATTTATAAAAKCAGTCCGAGGCAGCCGTCGCCAAAGAAGATTACACAGGAAGCACTGAAGCTGCTTTTATTTCAGGCTTTCACAGCTCTAATCAGCACTCCCACTTTTTAAGCCTTTTTATAAATATAGGAATTAATGTTATTATAACTCTGGTGAAACTATGACATTACTCACACATACAGCAGGTAAAATAAGTATTGAACACGTCACCATTTTTCTCAGTAAATATATTACTAGAGGTGCTAATGACATGAAATTTTCACCAGATGTCGGTAACAACCCAAGTGATCCATACATACAAAAAAATCAAACCATAAATGTCCAGAAATGAAGTTATTTGTAATAATGTGGAATGGCACAGGGAAYAAGTATTGAACACATGAAGAAAGGGAGGTGTAAAAAGGCATGGAAAGCCAAGACACCAGCTGAACTCTCTCAGTAATTAGAAAGCAAGCCTGCCCCTTGTCAGTGCAAGTTAATATCAGCTGGTTCAGTCCCAAATGATGGCCAGGTATCACACAAGAACCATCTGATGATGGGTAAAAGTAAAGAGCTCTCTCAAGACCTTCACAACCTTATTGTTGCAAAGCATAATGATGGCATCGGTTACAGAAGAATGTCTAAACTTCTGAAGGTTCCAGTGAGCACTGTTGGGACCATAATTCAGAAGTGGAAAGAACATTATTTCACCATAAACCGACCACGACCAGGTGCTCCTCACAAGATTTCTGACAGAGGAGTGAAAAGAATTATCAGAAGAGTTGTCCAAGAGCCAAGGACCACTTGTGGAGAGCTTCAGAAAGACCTGGAATTAGCAGGTACGATTGTTTCAAAGAAAACAATAAGTAATGCACTGAACCACCATGGCCTGTATGCACGCTCACCACGCAAGACTCCACTGCTGAAGAAACAGCATGTTGAAGCTCCTTTAAAGTTTGCTGCACAACATTTGAACAAGCCTGTGTAATACTGGGAGAATATAGTCTMGTCAGATGAGACCAACATTGAACTGTTTGGATGCCAGAATACACATCATGTTTGGAGATCAAACGGCACTGCACATCAGCCCAAAAACACCATACCAACAGTGAAGTTTGGAGGTGGGAACATCATGGTGTGGGGCTGTTTTTCAGCATATGGTACTGGCAAACTTCAAATAATTGAAGGAAGGATGAGTGGAAAAATGTACAGAGACATTCTTGATAAAAATCTGCTTCCATCTACCAGGATGATGAAGATGAAACGTGGCTGGACATTTCAGCAAGACATTGAGCCCAAACACAAAGCCAAGGAAACTCTCAGTTGGTTTCAGAGAAAGAAACTAAAGCTGCTGGAATGGCCCAGCCAATCACCTGACCTGAATCCAACAGAAAATCTATGGAAAGAACTAAAGATCAGAGTTCATAGAAGAGGTCCACGAAACCTTCAAGATTTGAAGACTGTTTGTGTGGAAGAATGGGCCAAAATCACACCTGAGCAATGCATGCCACTAGTTTCTCCATACAGGAGGCGTCTTGAAGCTGTCATTGACAACAAAGGCTTTTGTACAAAGTGTTAGATAAATTTCAGTAAGCGTGTTTAATACTTTTTCCCTGTGTCATTCCACATTATTACAAATAACTTCATTTCTGGACATTTATGGTTTGATTTCTTTGTATGTATGGATCACTTGGGTTGTTACCGACATCTGGTGAAAATTTCATGTCATTAGCACCTCTAGTAATATATTTACTGAGAAAAATGTTGACGGTTCAATACTTATTTTACCCGCTGTAGATCACATTAGTATTCATGTTGTATTTATTCAGATATATCAATAGTTCCTGTTAAGATGTTAGCTGTATGTCACTGRACTAACTGTGTTTTTGGTGTCAAGTTTCACTCCATGCACTTTATCATGTGCAGCAAAAACAAAAAGTCTGAAGCAAAAAGAAGAAATGAAAGAGAAGTAGTCTAAAAGAACATGTAAGTGCAAAATAATAAAAAAATTGCTGAGAGTTGTAAACATCCCTTTTTTGAAATTCTTTTGCAAACGTAAAAATTTTAAAAACAAAGTAATCAGCTATGATCAATGCTTCTAATGCTTCTGAACAAGATCTAGTTTATGTTCTTGTACAGAGAAATGTATGGAAGCCCAGGGCGGCCGTTTTATGCAAATAATTATTTTATATRGTTTTCTTGTGACAACATACAGTATTGTGTCGTTATCACAAAATAACAAGGAGAATTTTTCTCAAGATAACAAGTTAATTTCCAGATGGTTTTCCTCTTCATCATTCAGTAACCATGGTACCCTTGTCATCACTGTTTACATTTTTTACCATTATTTAACCAGGCAAATCCCACTGAAATCACAGATCTCTTTTGCAAGGGTGACCTGGGCCAAACTATTGTACATAATTTTATGTAATTTTGTATCATTACACAGGCTGAAATWGRGATTTGTTTTTCTTGTACAGATAACTTTCACAGAAGCCCTCATCATTTAAGGAGACGGCTGGCCCGACTGCAGATCAGCAGGCATTTACACAGTGATCCTACTGAAATAATAAACTTTACTGGTGACGGAATGGGTCATCACATAGTTACTGAATGATGTAAAAAAAAATAAAAAATAACAAAAACTCATTATCTTGCGCAAAAAAAGGGAAAAATTATATAAGGAAAACGACCGCTCTTGGCTTCCATAGAAATGTTAATGAAACTCACCATCATTATATTATAATATATTATATTATCCATCCATCCATCCATTTTCTGTA